TGCCTCCATAAATGTCCTTTGATTCCAGTGCACTGTTATTGAGTGGAACATAAACTTTCAAAATGTTTTAAAAATAGACTATATAAGTCTATACTCCATAGTATCATCAGAAGTGAATGATAATAGATATATTATTATTCACTCAGCAGTCCTGGTATCAGCTGAATAATGAAGTGATCATAAGCTTGAATGATAAAGTTAGTTGGTCCAAACTTAAAACAGTCTAATCATAGCCTATATCATCAGCTAGGCAGAGAAAAAATTAAAATTTTAAAAATTAAAATTAAAATTTTTCGGGGGCTACTTTTCGGGGGCTACTTTTCGGGGGCTACTTTTTCAAGCTCGCGTGCATGAAAATAGCACTCTAAAATTTGGTTTGAATTGAACTCTATGCAAATTTCCGGGGGCTCTTTTGGGCATTTCCGGGGATCTTTTTGGCATTTCGGAGGCTATATCGCCCCTAGCTCTAGAACTATAGCCCTTCGCTCCGCCGCAGGGCTATAGAACATGTACTATGACAATTTCCAGGGAGTAAGCAAAGACAACTTTTTGCGGTTATAACTCAACTTCTTCGATACGCCAAATAAAGCACATTCTCTGCCGCATAAATGTCTTAAGTTACTATAAACACTACAATTAAACAGCAAACTATCGCATAAATGTTGTACTTGCTATATTACTCGTCGACGAAGATTGCTTATCAACTTTCAACCGCCATTTTTCGTTGCGCAGCGCTAGCGCAGTTCCGGCGCTTGTGAACGGGCACAATGTATTTCCAAGTGAAGGGGTGGGCAGGTTGCACGCGGTTGCAAACCGCCATTTTTCGTTGCGCAGCGCTAGCGCGGTTTGCAACCGCGTGCAACCAGCCCACCTCTCCACTTGGAAATACATTGTCTTTGCTTACTTCATGGAAATTGCCATAGTATGTTCTATAGCTCTGCGGCGGAGCGGAGGGCTATAGTTCTAGAGCTATATCGCCCCGAGCCCCCCACCCCGTGTATTTTTTTCATTGCAGCTAGGCCTTAGATACAATAATGTAACCGAAACACAGGATAGCCGATAGGGTGTGTTTGGGTATCCTGTGTTTCCAATGTCCATGTGTCCAATGTCCAATGTGTTCCAATATCCTGTGTATCCAAACCCTATCCTGTGTTTGGGTTACATTATTGAATATTGATCTAGCTATAGGCTTTGTTATATCAAGATCAAAAGGTCATGACTACCTTGCACCCATTGATTCGCATACACTGATACGTTGTATTATCCCTGTTTGTGTTATACGTACACAAAGCATACCGTATGCCATACCTTGGTCATACGTAATGTTGACACCTTGTCGTCATTGTCGTGAGGGCTGAATTTACGAGTGTAAACAAATAAGATTTGCAATGGCGATTATGAATATATGACTATGAGTATGAGTATGACTATGACTATGAGTTTACAAAGTAGTCTGTAATTGATCCTGATCCTGTATTCTCAATGAACCCCGTGCAATTGCAATTAATAAAATTAACAGAAATTCCCGTTTCAATAATGAATGACAAACTTCAACATTAATGAAAAACGTACCTAGATTAGATTGTAATACTGATCACAGCAACGAGAAGATATCATAGATGGCGCTGCGGTAACAGATAGACTTATAAATTTTGTGCTCCTGCGTAATTACCAATTAATAGTGGATTTTACATAATAATCTGACGATAAGTAGTAAAACAGCCAAGGAGAAGCCACAGGACACCTCTGGAGCATATCATCTCATTGGTACATGACGATTCAAGGTATATAGCATCGCCTATAGAACTCTAAAAATCCAGTGACTGAAAGATCTGCCGCCATTTTTTGTTGTTGTTGTGGTTCTTCACCATGACGGATATCAACATGGACTCCCCCCCCTCTCTCTCTCTCCCTCTCCCCCCTCTCTCTCTTCCTCTAACAGCACCTATGAGTACTCATATTCGAATTACATGCAATAAAGATAATGACAAAACATGACATACAATGACATACAAAAATACAAAAAAAAAACATTACATAACCATAAACACAAAACATTACAAAAAAATACAAAATATGAAATGCGACAATGATAAAATATAATAGCCAACATGCTCTCCGTTTCACAGACGACATTCGTCAAGGTCAAGGATACGGTACAAGCAGCAAGGACCCTCCTTGCAGAAGGCTAATAACAATCTCCGTCTTTTTGTTGCATTCCTTCAGCACAGCGGTTTCGCATCCGAGCGATGTGTGGGCAAGTTGCTCCATGCTCGAAACTACACAACAGTAATGCAAATCGTCGCCAGACCACTTCAAACCCTGGAAAAATTCACTCCCTACAGCACTCCGAGGGAGATTTTGAACAATCTGTGACTGCGTAGCACTGGCAGCGAGACGCTTGGCCCAACGATTTATTGACATAACATTCCTACTAATGAGGTGTCCTACACATATCGTAAAATCACTGTGCACACTATAACGAATCAATGAATACTTTTGTATGCCTATACGAAGTTTCATGATTCCACGAGTTCATAAAAGTAAGGATTTTCTCCCCAAGTTCTATATGCCACGACAAATACTGTATATTTGTATCTGTACGCCATATTTTTCGCGTAAAGATATATCTTTGCGAATTCAGACTTGACGGCCAATTTCTCGCGAGTAGTTCATTTTCACAGTCGGTGAATTCCCGAATCAGTGAAGAACAGCGTGTTGTTATTTTTGCGTGTTGTTATTTTCGCGGTCGGGGGCGCATTCGCGAAATTTTGCGAAAACTAAACCACCGCAAACTATACAGCGTATACAGTAATCTACATGTGTTGTTGTATCTACAAAGGGCACTCCACTCACATGTAGAATTTGTCAATTCATCCTCCATCACTTCTATTTATTTAGTTTCATTTGTTTCAAATTTATTAGCATTGTCTATTAACTTGCTAATCTAATATGTTACCTCCAAAATGAAATTCATACATGTAAACAAAGTAAACTGAATTGAATTGCACGTAGGCCTAGCCAGTGCTCGTGCATGCAACCGTAGGGGTTCAGTATGGTAACACAGTATATATATATGCTCTATATGTATATCTCAGCATCTTCTTATATCGCTCTTCGTATTGTCTATAGCACCACGCACACACACACCAGTATTGTGTTTGGTGCTAAACTTAGAATCCATGGCACCCTAGCTACCAGTGGTATACATTCCACCGTATTTACGTATACGGTCGGGGGTTCGTTCTAAAGTGGCAGGACACCACCACCCTCCCCACCCAGCCCTGGGACTGTATGCCTGATATTTCCAGTACGTGATAAAAATTTGATGTATTGTGGCGTAAAATATATCATCCGAATCCATCGGATTGTACCACATTTAATTATATGAAATAAATTCAATAAGGCAAGTTAATTTTAAAGTCTTGAATATAAAATTTATTGCAACAGTATTTATATAAGTATAATTACCTTAATAAATAAATAATAAAATGAGTAAAGTAATATAGGGGTCCAGATATTATCGGGAATATCTATAATATATACCATGGTTGGCCCATCCTTTCGGCTTGTAGTTAGGCGATCCTAAAAGATATCTCAGTCCATGCATTACTGCTACTCACCTGAGAACATCTCTCCTTGTATTGTTAATTCCTGAGATTTTGCCTCTGCATACAGTGCCTCTGTGCTCACAGGGCTGTCTAGAAGGATTTGTGAAGCCATGCTCAGTGCTACTAAACCACACCTGTAGATCACAGAAACAAAACCCACCAAATTCCTACTTCAACAGATAGTCAGGTTGACTATGAAAAACAAAGATAATTTTGTTCAAAATTTTTTTATGAAAAAACAGTGAACCTGACTACGATGTTAGAAGATGACAATTATGTGGGTGTGACAGTCAATACAATTAGACTTTTGACAACTGCATTTTAACAAGAAGTCGGTATCTATCGATCTGACAGCATGAGACATATAGCCGTCAGTTTTAGAATTAAAAACAAAAAAATACCTTAACTTTTTTTTTTAAGAATATTGATCAA